AAAGAAAGGAAGAGGAAAAGGCAGCCTTGTAGCTAGTACGATATGTTTCCAAGACAGGCAGAAGCTTTTTTCAGGAGACCAACAGATCAGTCAAGCATGGGACCAGTCTTTTTGCAACTCCCATTGGGAGCCTTCATGCCCTGAAAAGCCTCCTTTGTGCTCTCTGCGGGCAGCAGCCGGTGCAGAGCTCCAGCACTGGATGAACCCGCAAGGATCAGTGGCTGGAGGGGAAAAGGGGACAAGAAGGGTGACCCTCCTAAATAACTTCCACAAAGTGACTCATCCTTTCACTGTCAGCGTTAACATCTCTGCTCCTGCCAGCTGGGCAGCTGCTCTGGCCCTCTGAGCAGTCAGGGAATGTTTTGTTCCAGGGATGGGAAAAAGGGGGGAAACAACCCTTCTGCGTGCATGTGAGCGTGCATGTGTAATTGCCGTATGATTTCAGCTATTTTGACCTAATAAGAGTTGCTGCATTAGTCACCAGCTTTGGTACGAACAGATGGATTTGGAAGAATTTTTAAAACTGAAGAAGGAAGAAAGAAGAGAGATGAGAGATGTTGCAGACCCCAGGACAAAAGGGCATCCCTGCTGCCAGAGGTGGGGTGTTCCCATACAGCAGGGCTGGAGCCCACCACACATGGCATCCCAGGGCAGACAGCAGACCTACAGTACCCTGGGTTTTCTTCAAGTGGTGGCTTTCTGCCTCTATGCACTATGGTGCCAGGAAACTCATCCTTCTTCTAAACTACCAGACTTGAGTACTGCACTTGAACAAGAAAATTTTCTCATGCAAAGAAAGAGCAGAGGTGATTTGTATAATACTTTCTTTAAAAGCCCTCAACACTTCTGACACATTATAGGATCACAGCTTTCAGGTCTTCATCTTAAAGCAGTAGTTCAAGTCAGCAAGGTTTGCTTGGGGCCCAGGTTGCCCATTTTTGTTCAGGGAGCAAGCTCGGTGCCTGACTGATCAGAAATGTCATGGCAAGCTATCAAAGCAGCTTTGATTTCCTACCCTCCAGATTAGCCAAACATAAGACTGGAATCCGCAGGGTTGAGCCTACCAATGGAGAAAGGAGATTCATCACATCAGGAGCACCATTCCCTCAGCCAATATTTACTTTTCCAAACTGGGGCAGGCAGGCTTTTCCATCACACATGGAAACACAGGCAGTTCTCTACTAAAAATATTTCTTGGCCTCCCCACTTCTCTCCTCCCTACAGGACGTCCCCCTTTCCCTCCAAAAGCTGCCTTTTTGCATAGGTCTCAGCTGACTCCACTGCCAACAGGGAGAAGACATCTCTCCTGTGCACACACCTAGCTCCAGCAATAATCCACCCCCACCCAAAAGCCCCATCCAAGTCCTCAGAAAAACTCCCACTGGTTTCTACTCTGAGAAACAATTCCCACATTCCTTCCCTAAAGTCACTTTTTTCCCCTACCATATCCTTCTACGTCCATATTCGCTCTTTCCTTCAGCATCTTTCGTGCAGGCAGTGCAAGCAACGTGTCCTTCCACATATCTGCAACACAGCATTTACCAAAGCATAACTACAGCCTTCATGCACAGGGCTGAAGATGGACACAGAAAATATAGAAGAGGACTCTGCTAAGACATGAGAGGTACGGGGACCACAATACCTTGTTTGTAGGAATCCTGTTTCCAAAAACACAGGAGCTGGGAGTGCTGACATCAGCCCTGAACATCTACTCCAAACCTCATTCAGTGCATAGCAGAAGGGAGTAGAAAAGGCATCTTGCACTAAAATACAGGTCTGAACATCAGTGTCAGTAACCCACTACACTGGAAACTTGTAAGGACCTGCCCAAGCACGTACATTTTCATTTTGAAATAAGAAGAACAAATTTGGGAGCATAAAGGTTTTAAATTGTTGATTGGAAGATTTGTATGTAGGCAGAGTATTGTTTTCTTCTCCTGGCTCCCTGGGTAGCAAAACAGAAAAATTATATGTAATTAAAATGGAAACAGTATCAATTAGCTGTGATTCTCTGAGCTGTGGAAAGAGTAAACCAATGAGGAAAGACTGTTCTTATCCTCTGGCAGCCTCTTCACATCAAGATTATTCTGAAGATATCTTAAATCCACTTAAGCGTGAACTATGCAAACAAAATTTAAAAGAAATCAGTGCAGGTGGAGGGTTATTTACTAGCCAGTATAATACTTGATCACACGTATCCCGAGGAATTAACTTGATTGCTAGTACTTGAGCTCATTTCATTAATGTTACATCCTTGTCCTTCTTGAATTATGCCCCTGAAGTTTAAAGCCTAATCTAGATAGGGCCAGGCTTATCTTCTGCCTCTACAGAAAGTGTCCTTTGTGTCATTGTTTTTACGTACTCCTAAAAATAGGATACATGCAAGGACAGCAAAAGTTAACAAGTTACTGTACCCAATCACACACAAAATCAGGAGATTAAAAACAATGAGGTAGATACAGTCCGCAAGGGCACTGCCTGCAAGTCTCCTTAAACAGAAAATATTCTATTTCACGATAACAGTGATGATTCTGACAAAGTGGTGTTCTATTACAAAAAAAAAAAAAAAAAAAAAACCAACACAATACACACCTTTTGGTTTTGATACAGACTTATTTTCTCGTATAAGATATTACTAAGAGGGAAAATTACATCAGTTGAATCAATTGAGTCACTCACTCAACAGCTTGCGTGTCATTATTTAAGAATAGTATATTACTGGGTACACATCAGCAAGTATAACATCCTTGTTTTGTATTAAAATTTTCAGATGAGGACATACTTGGACCTGAACCTGATGTTGACAGATACTTCCGATACTTCTCCTTCACAAGAGAAGCTGCCTACATACTCAGAATGAAGGAGGTAATTTAATACGTTGTGGTCCAAACCCTACCTCATGACTCCAGGAGTCAGCCCTTCACTGAAACACACACCATCATTGTTTTCTCTTCTTCATGCATATTCTTCAGCTCAGAACCAAAGGGGCTAAGGCACACATACAGAAATCTTGAGGGGGGAAAAAAATAAATCCCTAAGTCACCATTTGAATCACCATTTGGACATTTAATCTTGCAAGAGTTGCTAGAATCCCAAAAGGGAGCACGACCTGGCCAAGTCAGTAGACTAAAAAAATTTCGGGTACTCTTTTTCACTCAAGAAGTTTCAAAACCCAGCTTCCTGTAGCCATGGACTTGTACAAGGTTTTCCATGTGCAGTGAGACCAAGCCATTTCATAGCACCATGAGTGAAATAAGGCTGAACTCTTCCTACCAACGGGATGGCTTATTTCCTTTTGCTCGTCATTTTGGCCTGATAGCTTAACACACCTCACAAAATTATTTCTGGTAAACAAATGAACAGCATTTTTTTTCCCCCTAAACCTCAGGACTAACCTGCTGGTACCAGGCTGGGAAGTTCTGGTTGCATCAAGAGCACTCTTTGGAGCAGAAAGGAAAACAACCCCCCATGGCTGAGGGCAGCCTGGAGGAGCCTCATCTCTCCACCAAGGTCAGCCCAACACCGCGTGTCCTGCCCATCCTCTCCCATGGTGGGGCCCTGCTGGCCTCCCTCCAGGCAGGGAGCGTGTCACCTCCATGCCACCTGTCAGCACACTTGCAAGCTATCCACCAAGCGGTTATTTGCAAATAATTCTTTTAATGCTGACACATTTTATAAGTTGCCTGCAGATAATTAACAAATAGGGAAAAATACAATTGCATAGTAGAATAATTCATTGCTAATTATTCTCTCAGGCCTAAGAATGCTGCTGACCTTCTCGATGCATTTCTTTTAGTTAGCTGAGTACAAACAGATGCTGACCTTCATCAGAACAGCACTGATGTATTTCCTGAGGAAACACAAGTGAGAGCGTAAAGGCATGACCAAACACATCCCAGTCAGTCACACCTTAGTCATCAGGAGCATTTTCCAGAGTGCTTGCTGGGTTCCTGTGCTTTGCATTTTGGAGGAGTTCGGGAGTGCGTCACACAGAAATTCAAGTACAGCGGTCTTGGAGTTGAACACCAGAAAAACCCAAGGATGTAAAATGAGTGGGTGTTTCAGGTCGTTTCAGTCATTGTCTGTGCAAGTTATTTGTCAAGACAGCTTCTGGACCACAGTTACTCATCATTTGCATCAAGTTTTAAACTAGGGACAGCAAGAGCTGCAGATTTGAAATGTGACACCACACATCACGATTTAATGAGGCCTCTAGGGCTACGTGCAACACAGCCGCATTCCCCCTGCACGTACAAACACACTCATACAGTGAATCAGAACCAAGAGCATCTTGCAGAGCACCCCAGGGTTTTATTTAAAGGAAAAAACTGTGATTTGTCAGAGACACTACAGCTCCCCTGGAAGGAACAAGATAGTCTTTTCTGAGTATTTGTGCTCACGAAGACTTAGAGATCCTTGTCAGGAGTGGAAAATGGAATCAGTCTGTTTTTTAATCCCGAACAGCGGGTCACTTTAACAGCAAAGTTTCTACAAAATCATTTTTCTTGACCTGAAAGGATATACACACATACCCTCCAACAGACGGGAGCAGCAGTTAAGCCAGCATAGATGCTCCTTTCAAGGCCCCCCTGAACAGAGATGCCAGCACCACATAAAGACGGGTATTCATAGCATCCTCCCAGAGCAATTTCAGCCATCCAGCTTGGACATTTTTCACAGCAACTGAACTCAGAAACCCAAGTTTCCTCTGCAGTCCCTGGAGCAAGGGAGTGCGACCAAGAGCAGCTCTGACTGCCTCCGCTAGCTGGGCTGGGCCAGAGCGCTGCTCCCCATCAGGCACTTTGGGAAAAACAAGCTGGTGACCTCTGGGTGACTGACTGATTACAAGTAAACCAGTCTGAGGGCTTTGTGATGGGGTTCGGTCCACAACTAGCAGGATTAAAATCAAGTGCTTTAGGTAGCTCTGAAAGCACACAACGGAATAAAACGCCCAAAGCATCACACACCCTTTTACCCACATACATGAGGCAAAGAGAGAATTGCAGCGATAAACTTCAGCTTTTAATTATTAAGGAGGAACTGACCAAAATCTCTTGGCACCAATCCAGTTCTCAGTTCCCTTCTAAAGCTTATCAAACCTGCACTCACTACTCTTTTGCACACTTATAGGTGCAGACTCAGGGAAAGGGCTTCAAAATTGGAAATCTGAAAAAAAAAGAATGAGTGCCTTTGTTTTAAAATAAAACTCATTAATTAAGGAACAGAGACTAAGCGTCACTGTTTCTATTTTCACAACTGCATCTCTCTGTTGGCTTATGTGTGGCATTTTTCTACGCTACAGGATCTACCTGCTTTTCCTTAAGTACACAGAAAGCACCACAGGTACTTGCAGCACCCAACTCTACTTTTTACACAAGAACTGATACATGGAAATTAAGAGCTCTAATGTAAGATTTCTATTTCATGTGCGACACTGGATAAAATGATGATAGGAAAACTGGTCCTGCCTATGTTTTCTAATTGACCCTAGCCATCATTTTGACTCTGAGCAGTGAGGTAATCAGCCACATCCACAGAATACAGATCCCCCGCCTGAGCTCTGCCACTGAGGACAGCTCTGTTCACAAGGACACTTCACAGAAAATAAGAACAATAATTAATAATAAAGATAAACAAGAAGGAGAACATGTCCTCCTACTGAAACTGTTCTCCATTGAGCTGCTCCTCTGCTTGCTCTATTTAAATACCTAGGACACTCTGTCACCAAGATTAAACTCATGTAACTGGCAGGGACTGGCCACCAGTTCTTCCACAGAAAGAGCATTTTTGAAAGGGTGCCTGTGTCTTTCAGACACAGATACCTATACAGGGTGAAGTGATTACCCCTCAGTCCATTTTTGATACACTGAATGCACTAACCTCCTTACAACTCACCATAATAAGGAGGTTTTCTAGCACCCTCACCATCCTGCTGACCCTCCCTTAGACTTTCTTTGCACACCAGCTAATGGCTCAGAAATGGTGTATGAAAGTTAGGGCCCTTTCAACACAAACTTCACTGTTGCAGGCACAAAAGAAAGAGAATATCAAGACACTAGCTTCCCTGAATTAATATTTTTACATGACTATTTATTAGCTTTTACAACAAGAGTCTCACTTGTTTATAGGCACAGGTTGTCACCTACTGTTCTCAGGTCATCTTCCTTCATTTGGCTGGACTGACACATCTGGTTAGAATGGGATGCAGAAGAAACCCTAAAGACAAGTAAAAGCCTAGATCACCTCAACACCCCAAACAAGCGTAGCACCGCATACTTTGAATACTAATTGCTGAGATGTGTTGAGTTGAACCACAGGAAGAAAGACTTGTTTGAAAATGCTAAAACAACATCAGCCCAGCTTACACTCCTGCAAGTAAAACACTTAAATATTCAAGATGAAGATAGAGAACAGACATAGAAAACAAAGTCTACTACAAAAAAAAAAAAAAGTTCTTTATTAAACCATTGATTGTTTCCATTACTCATAACTTTTAGCAGAGGTAAGAGCAAAGAAAGGAATCTACTACTTCCTCTCACTAACCTCACAGCAAATCAAAAAATACTTTATAAACAAGCACTTACCTAGGAATTTTCCCCAAAACTTTCGCTTCCCCTAGTCATTTCCAAAGCCATCCTACTTCATACAGCCAGCAAGAGTGAAACTCCCATCATAAATACCTGTGTTGCTCACTACAGGCTTTCATAATCCTAAAATCATTAGTTTACAAATGGAAACAGCTGTGGTGGTGAGGGAGCAGCAGAACTAACATCCTTCCACCACTATTTTCTCCTTGCTTTCATCTTAGCACCAAGAGATGGGAGCACTCAGTGTGCTTTATCTTTTGAGACTATTTACTTATATTTTACTTTAAAACCATATTTTCCTTTGTTACCTTCAATACTCTGTTTGCACATTCCATATTGCTTACAGAGCTGGCTCTAGAGGCCTTGGGAAAGAAGGCTAAATTTCACTTTTGTCTTTCCATAAATATTTTCTGTTATCCCTGGGGAAACCAAATTCAACTTTTCCAATAACAGCAGAGAAAACATGAGGGGAAGGAGTTTTGGGGAATCTGGGACTAAGGAGTGACATTTTGGGACTGCTGATAGAAATAAGATCCACGTCTGTGGTTGGAGACAAGGTCCAGAGCAACCTGCTCTGGGTAGCCTGGCTTGGAGCAGGTGACCTCCAGAGGTCCCCTTCTACCTCAACCATTCTGTGACTCTGACATTCAGGTGGAGCTGAGATTATCTGAAGGTTTGGGGGCTGGAATAAGATACAGGGACCAAGAGGGACAGGCTTACTGTGGAAAAAAGTGTTTCTGGAAAGGTTTTTTTCTCTTTTCACAGACTCTTCTGACCAGAGATCCCTGCCCATCATTTCTCCAGCCTTGAGACCACCATGTGCCTCTGTGCCCTTGCTCCCAATCTCTCCTCTGTTATTCCCCTCTCTGAGAAGAGGCAGAAGAAGCTCAAGGAGTACTTTGAAGTACCACAAACCAGTATTTGTCCATCTTATCGCTGCCAAGCCCCTCAACATGCTCTCACCCCCTTGTGACAAAGGCCAACAGCTGGGCAAGCACAAGGCCAGGACCAGCATCCCATGTGTCAGGGGCAAGGCAGGCAGGTAGCAGCAGGAGGAGCTCGCTGTGGACCACAACACCACGTACACAGCCTGGGTGCTGCTCCTGCAGTGGTGATGGCTCTGCTGAGCAAGGGAGGACGCGGCACGTCAGTACTGCCGGAGAGCATCCGTACGACGACGATGCTGGATTCTGCTTTCTCTATTAATAGGGCAGCAACTTCCTGCGCCTGCAAGACTCGGAGATGCTTTGAAGTAAAATCGGCTTTTCCGGAGGCTGATCAAAATAGAAATCCAAGCTGCCTAAATCTGCAATGGAAATTTCAATCAACATCGGGTTTTTAAATAAGATGTGGTCTCTATTCTGGGTCCAAATGAATTGATTAAAGAAATCAGATATACAAATAAGGCTTTTGGTCCACTGCTCTGCACCACCCCCCAAGCAAAACTTACAGTTACTGGAAGAGGAGCATTAACTCTCAGAGATCCCAACCTCTCTCTTGTTTCAAGACTACACCAAAGATACCAGCAATCCGTTCAGAGAAAATGAAAAATCACTGAAAATTTACACAGGTAGAGACTCTGTTTCTCATGTTTCTGGCCATTTCTGATCAGCAAAAAATCGGCCTCCCAAAGAGTTAACGTTCAGCTGACCGGCAAAGCACAACGGGCTCATCGATAACGCCGAGCGCGCGGCGCTGCCTTCGGGAAGGGAAGAAGCCATCTCGGGAGACAAGCGAAGCAATTGTTTGCTTTCTCTCGTGCTCGCCGAGTGCCCTGCGGTAACCCTCGTGCTCTGAAATACTCATATTGGTTATTTCGAAGTTGGGTGCAGAGCTGTGCTTTCCCATGGCTGCCACTAATGACTTGCAGCTGTTGCTAATCTGTGCCTCTGATTTCCTTTGATTACTATGTGTATTGATGCCTGTGGTAAATAGGCATCTGCCAGGTGCCAGCACAATCAGGGGGAAAATATAAAAAGTTCCCTGTTTCAAATTCAATGTGACATTGTGTTAGTTGAGAGGCAGCCGTTTAACTATTTAAGGGGAATAGTTTCCTGGGCTCCTCGCTGCCCTCCTGGCTGTGGAGGAGGCCCTTGTGCTTTTTGGTGAAGACAATCCCCCCAGGCCCCAGCTGTAGGAAACAGTGATGGGGAGAAGTTGGCAGCCTTGGGGAGCCTCCCAGCCGTATCTCAGCCCACAAGAGATGCTGTTTGAGCACAGGGAGAGCACAGGCTCTCCACAGCATCCCATTCCCCAGGCACGGCACCACATGGCCACCCGCTCTGATCGCAGGCAAGGGCTGGGGCTGGCTGCATCCCACTGCCAGGAGCACACATTTCTCTTCCCAAGGCTTTGTTCCTGCTTTATTCTGTGCTGCGGGGCAGCGTGGCACCTCTGCTCGCAGTCCTGGGCTGGAAGGAGCGGAGCAGCAACTTCCCACAGCCCACTAGGAAAATACCCATCTTGTGGGAATCCAGGGCTAACATTAGATTTTCCAGAAGGAAACATAAGGGTCTCACAATAAGAAATGTCCCTGGGTGAGTTCTCTTTGTAGGGCACTGCAGTGTGACTTGCTCCCAGCACTGGCTGCTGCGTGCTTTGCCCCAGCCCCTTCAGCAATTTCTGTGGGCATTTCTCATCCCTCCCTGTACAGCAGCCAGCTGAAGATGCCACGCAGCTGTTCCTCAGCTCCATCCATCATCCTTCTTCCTGGTAGCAGGTAATTATTTCCAGCTGTTAATTATCCAAGACCATCACACCTGACCCATATTGTTTGCCTTTCATTTGCACCTCATGTGCTGAAAATAAATACATAAAGCAAAGCCTCAGAGACATGCCAGTTAGAGGCTACTGCCAGGGAAAGGAGCGAGCTGTCTGCTTTTGTGGTTCATTTCCTCGGTTTGTGGACCCAGGCATTTATGTGCAGGCTTGCATTTATGGGGCAGCAATGAACTGAAGGGGAACCTGTGGAGCACAGCAAAGGATGCACGCCTGTTACTCATAAAAGTGCTGAAGGAAAACCCCAGACATCCACATTTGCTGCAAGTGAAGTATTTTGGTTTAGGCTTGATCTAATCATTATTAGAAAGAAGGGATTGTTCAGCTCAGGAGAGGCTGGTGATGTTGCACCTGACAAGGTGCTAACTCCTTCCCACTAGGAAAAGGAGATGGCAGAAAATTTAAGTCATGTATCTAAATGTGCACGCACAATCTCTATAGCTGCAGCCCTTCACTGAAGCTACCAAAAAATAAAAAGCCATCTGATGCAATATAAGTCCTATGGAAAGGGCTAGATCTAACTCCTCTTAAGCTGCTGGAAAAGGAAAGCTGAGCAGTACCCACCCTCCTAAAACAAGGCAAATCATGATGCCTTAGAAATGAAAGGGCTCTTGGCTAACAGGGATAGGGCTGAGCTCTGTTTCAAAGTGCCAGGATGGCAGAAGGAGTTGGAGACGAGCTGATTCAGGTGCAGGAGGAGAAAGGCCTTTCACAGCTGTACCACAGCCCATGGGAAGGGGGTGTGGAGGACAGGGTGTTCGAGCCTGGTAGCAATCTACAGGCAGCGTGGGGTATGAATAAAGATACTGCCTCCTTCAGCTTTGGGGTTTGGTCATTACATCAGAGCCTGCCAAGAAAAAGCAAACTGATCTTTGTAATTGCTGCTGAATGAGAGAAGGCAAAAAGTCCTGTAACTACTACAATGCACATCCACAGGATTCTCCTTGGCTTAAAGACGAGACACTATTGTGCCTGGGACAATTCCTGGGGGGAAAAAAATGGTCTGGAAAAGGGGTTTCTTAGGCATTTTCATGCCTAAACTTCCAGATTCCTTAAAACTGAGACTAGTTTTATGGTAAGACTGAGTCTGATTTTACAATCAGCGTTATGAAGTTGTAGAAACATTACACTTTGATGCTTTAGAAACAAAAAACAGTGCTTTTGTCTCCTTTCTGTGTCCATGTGCTGCAGACCATGAGCTGTGCACAGGCACCATGATGCACCCATCGCACCTTTGTCCTCCAGCTGCAGGCATCTTACTCTGCACCTGAGCCCTCAGAGCCAAGACCTGGACACAGTGATGTGGGAAGGCACATCAACCTCCAGACCATCATATAGTCACTAAACATCCTCTCCAGACCCCCTCTTTCTGGCATTTCCCCAGGGCCAGCAGGCTTCTGCCAAGCAGCACCTACAACACCCCCATACTGGCCATCCTCAAGGAGGTTGGAGTTGAAAAACTGAAAGCTGAATACTGAGCCTTAAGACCTCCACCGAGGAGGACATCGTGTCCTTCTGCTTTTAATTAACACTGAAACTTCAGTCATCCTCTGGGCTGCAAAGCAAGTCCTTCCACGCGCCCAGCTTGGGGAAAAAATGGGGACATTTGCAAAGAGTGGCGAAGCACAGCTCTTGGCACTTCCCAATTAGTACGTTTCAACTCACTTCGGAAAGTCACATACCCTTGCTCAGATGTGGCTGGGGACGCAGAGGGGCTGGAAGGTTTTACATTTCACCACTGAGACTCCCAGAGGTTTTGCCAAGTCCTTAGTAAGTTATTCAGAAGGAAAACAAGGACCCGGCTGGGCTTCTCCTTTGTGTGGGTCCTGCTCCGGGCTCTGGCACCTGAGCTGGCAGCTGCACTTCCCTGTAATGGCACAGGGGAGAAGGGACATTCATGCTGTCATCCCGGCTGGCGTATCTTGTTTCTGCAAGCTCACATCTTGTAACTAGCCTAAGCTAGTCAGCGCCGCGTTTTTCAGGGGAAAGAAAAACATCTGAACTTTGGCATCAAAAACCCACTGGAAACTGGCCATGGCCTAGAATGTAACTGAGCCCTTCAGCTCAGCTTTCATTGCAGAGAGGTTTCCCAAGAGAAAATGCCCAGAGGACTGAGAGCAAGGAGTTTCCTAACAGCTCAGAGACCCGGTTTCTGCAGTGCTGAAGCACACACACCACACATCCTGCTCAAAAGCAATCTGCAGCCTGACATCACCTTTGTAGGGAGCACGCTTGTGCTCCCTAGCTTCCCCACAAGCTGAGGGTGCCCAAGGGCTTCAGGTCCTGGGGGCAGCACTCAGTCCCTCCCGAGCACCCCTTCCCACGTGGCAGCAGGGATCACGGAGAAGACCCAGGGAGCACGGCTCCCACATGGGAATAGCAAAGCAAGACACAGTCTGCCCCTGCTTTCCTACACGGATTCACACAGTTATCCCCCAGATATTGTCTCACCCCCCAGGCACGCTGAGCAGAGCAGGCAGTGCCTCCTTTCAAGGCTGCCCCATGCTGTTATTTCACAGAGCCAGCAAGTGCCTTGCGGTGGACGGATGCACCACTCAGCTTGCCACTCTAATCTCTCCCCACCATACCTAGGAATGGTTATACAGATAAAACAGAGGCTGGAAACTGTTGTTGTATCAAAGCAGATCTGTGGTATCCAGATTCTGTGCAGCTCTATTGTGCTCTCCTGTGCTGGTTCTCTATTTTTAAAATCTGAGCTAGGAAAAATAAATTACTCTCGACCTGAGTGTGAAAAAGTTTTCTTTCATACTGGCATCTTAACTTTATCTGATAATGAGACTCAAGTAATTTCCTTGAGTTTCAGCTGTAGCAAGTAATGAAACAGTGAAATCTTTCTTCACTGATTAACAGTATTAGGCTTCCAGAGAGCACAGCTACTGCCACAGAAGCAATTCTCCAGTCTCAGCAAATATTAGAAATTCACAGGTAATACCAACCTCATTGGTATCCTCTTTCCCTCCCCAGCTTCTGTCTCGCTCAGTATTTTAGGTCAGCAGCACTGCAGCAGAACAACTTCCTAAATCATGAAACAGCTTTAAACCTCTCAAGATCTCACAAGATCTTGGGGGAAAAGGTTTGAGATTTGTGGTTTTGTTTTCTGGGGTTTCAAATCCCTAAGGGTCATCATTTCAAGATTTTCTTCATGTCTAGGAGAGGAGGCTTACCCTTGATATTTTCCAGCTGTATCCTTGCTTTACCAAGTGAGAAATATCTCATCCAAATTACATGGGAGAGCAATGAGAGTCTATTAACTTCAAGGGGCTCTTGATCAGCCTCGTAGACTTCTGGTCAGAAGTGGCTTCGTGTAAAAGTCTATCTGCATACCAGGCTGAAGCTGCATACAGGCTGTGTCGTGAATCCACATCACTCTTAATCATATGAACTCCACATTCTCCATTACAAGTTTTCAGATGCATCAACACATCGAAGCTAGCGATGAGCAAACTGCAAAAAGTTTCTCTTCAAGTTTGCCCCAGAGCTGCAAGAAGCGACACTTGTGTTTCACAGCAGATATCCCCCCCACAAAGCAGCTCATCTGCTCTGCAGGGACACCCAAGGTTTCTTTCTGCAGCCAGGAGACCACAGGCAGTCACGTGCAGAACCAGTCACACTTCACAAGGAAGCGAAAGTCTCATAACGGAGAACAATTATGACAACAAGCAGTGGCTGTGTTACAGAAAGAACAATCTGGAGTTATTGTAGAGAAGCTTTTTGGAAAATAGCTAGTAATTTTGGTTCGCAAACGGCTATAAGCATCTGGTCTCCAGTGAGTACCTGTTCTCTGGCAGCAAGATGCCTCCCCCACAAGTTTCAGAGGCTGGGCATCAAAAAACAAAGAGACATCCCAAAATTTACTGAGCGCTTGGCCTCAGGCTGTCATTGATAAACACATTCCTTTTCAGTCTTGAGACAATTGTGTGGGATGATAAAGCTGTGGACAAACCTTCCAGAAGGTTTTCTTTTTTTTTCCCCCAAATGCTGCATGTCTCATTCCTGCTGATGCTCGCGGACCTGCTGCTCACGGTGCCTGTGCAGCCTTTGGTGACGGATCGTGACGTTAACTCTGG